GCAGCAGCCCTTTAACCTGTCTCCCGGGAGTGCCAGGCATTCAGAAGCAGGCTTCTTCTCGCCCACCTAACCAAACAGGACCCACTGGGATGGTCCTCTCTCCCTGGCTTCCTCCTGCCCCACAGCTCCTTGCAGAATTCCAAGCACAGGAAATCCTCCTCCTGCTCCTTATTAGCAGTAATTCTGTTCTATAACATCACTGCAGGCCCTAAACTCACGACTACTGAATTACCAGAGAAAGCATCATTGGGCTTCCGTGAGCCCTGTGTCAGTCCCACAGCACGGGCACGGCCAGGCTCCAAGTCCCTGCGTCTGTACGTGACATTTTGCACCATGTGGTTCCCCCTCCCCCAGGACAACGCACGATCCCACATTCCCCTTCCATCACCTGTCACAGTTTCATGGGGCACCAGCTGCTGTTCCCAAGACAACAGAGTCATCATGCCATCACAAGGACAACAGCTAGATTCATGGCAGCTTACTACATGCCAAGCACTGCTCTGAACAATTTTAAAGCGTTAAATATCTACATCTGCATAAGCTACAGATGGACGTGATTAGGATTTTTCATTGTGAAGGTAAGAAAATAGAGACAAAAATGGGAAATGATCTGTCCAAATCGCTCAGCCTGGGAGTGGGAGAGGGGGGAACTGAGGGGGCAACCAGAATCCAGAGCTCAGGTTTAAAGGCAAAGCTGAATTCTCTCAATGGCTAGGGAATCTAGTAACATTTGGACAAAGGTGCTTCCTTCTGTGATACAGGTTCAAGATGGGGCTGGAGGAAGGGAGATGTAAGTGTCAGCTCACCTCATTTCTTGCTATCTGTTTTTTGGGGAAATATATTAATTATACTTGTCTAACTATGCACAATTATCTTCTGTCACACGAGGAGGTACAAATCCTCTTAATTTGAACACACACGAATCTTCATTCATTCATTTTTCCCATTCCCTATCAGTTTTTCTGCCTTCACATCCTAAGACATTTTTTAAGGAAGAATCTGAACAGACTAAAGGAAATGTTTATAAAATGTTTCAGGTTAAAGCAAATTACATGGCTCAGAAACAGGATCTTTTAAAAAGAAGGAAAATAACAGTTGGTTTTGTCCTTGATCAAGTTAAAGGAAATAGAGAAAAAAAAATAGAGTTGTCCAATGTTAGCTTCTGAATCAAGACAGATCCTTTCAATGCTTGTCCAATATATGGAAAGAGGCAAAATTCACAAAATTCACAGATTTAAAATTAAGACAGTGACAAGTTCTAGACAGGCCAGGAATGCAGCCATCACAAAGTGTGGAACTTGCTTTGCAGTTCATGGGCACTGCAACCACAGGGTGGTTAGGATACTGCAAGTCATTCTAAACAGGAGACACTGCCTTCTGTCTCCTGGGGGACATGCGTCCCCTTCCTTAGCAACGTAAAGGATTTGATCTCGATCGGTTGTTGCAGGCCAGCCTGACCTCTCCTCCCGCAGGGATCGACAACAAGAAGTCCATTTTCAAACTTGAGAATCAGTAAGAAGAGGTCTCACAAGATGAAGCTGCTGACTTTTTCTTGTTTGTTTTTTTTCCCCGATCCTGGGAATTGAACTCAGGGTTTTGTACTTGCCAGGCAAGTACAGTGCCACTGAGCTACAACCACGGCCCCAAATGTGCTGTATTTCAAAGCAGGTGCCTTCTTCCTCTGTTGTGACTAACATACAAGCCATTTAGCAGCCTCAGGTTGAGCTTTTGGAATTATTTTAGCAGAAAAACCTGCCAGGTTGGGATGTGGTGCTGCATAGGAATGTGAGACCCATCTGTCTTGTAAGGGTGTTATGGTTTAGCAACCTTTAGCAACCTGTTTTTCATGCCTTGTTGGAGCAACGGGCATTCCTACTTTGAAAATCCCCCAAACCTGCCTGTGACTTCCATGATGTGTGCTCCTTGCAAGGAAGGAGGAAATACACAAGTGGGGCAATGCGCCCAGGTCCCTGGCACATGGCCTTGCAGTGTCCTGGCTAAGACTGAAACAGAAAAGCCCCTGCCCAGTTTTATAGCTGGGGAAAATGATGCCCGTGCAGGTTAAATGACTGACTCCCTGCTTGGGGACTTGGAAGTAGGAAAATTAAAATTAAAATCTAGGCTTCTGGGCTCCAAAGATCCGTCATTCAATGACTCCTCCTTGGCTTTGCCTCTTTGGGACAGGTGAAATGAGAAGTTCATCTTGCAAATTGAACTTTCCTTCAGAAAGACCCAAAAGATTATCCAAACCTCAAAGTACTCTTTCCAGTTCAGTAAGGCGCTTTAACAGGCAAGATGATCTTTCTCCTGGGAGCAGACACAGAATCCCAGCCAGGTCTGCCTACACCAGCTACAGCTCCTGCACTTGAGGCTTTTTTCCGAGTATGGTCCCTAGGTGGCGCAGTGACCCCATGAGTCCCTGGACCCAGACTTGTTTGTGGATTTCTGCCTGGCTGGGTACTCTAAAGTGAAAAATCAGCTTGTCAGTCCTTGGCTCCTTTCCAGCAGAGAAGTCATTACTCGACAATCTTTCCAACGTCTCCACTCGCTGATGCAAGATTGTGACCTGCCAAGGAAGTTCTCTAAAACCAGAAGCTGAAAAAGAACCACGGAAAAAAAAATAAAGGAAACTGATGCTCCCTTTTGATTCTTCTGTTTGAGGTCTTGGCTTTTTCTAAAATAGTTTTTCAGGTCTTTGTGGAGGGGGACTTCAGAAATTCTAACAGCTTTGAAAAACACATGTAAATGACTGTCAGGGAAGAAATATGCATAATTCTTCATAAGGTAATTATGAAACAGAGTGCTTACCAGGTGTAGAAAATAAAGATAGACAGGGGTGCCCTACACTTGAAGTGTGGAAGGAATTCACAGTGATGTTAAAACAGATGGAGGTACGCTGAGAAAAATGACTCCGAGCTTAGCGCACAGAATACACTGATGACTCTCATAAGAACACAGCCTGAAAGTAAAAAGGAGATGCTTCATTCAACATAAGTGCATAGGGCCAGGGCCTGGAACATCTGCTCCCACTGGGTGCTCGCTTACTCTCCAGCCTCTCTCTCCTCTCTGTTGCTCCACACCTCCATGCGGGACTCAGAAGCCCCCACTGAAAGCCACCAAGACTGGGAGGTAAAGACACAGAATGCTGGAGGCAGAGCTCAGAAACAGCACGGGGTTTGCATTCTCCACACTGTTCAAAAGAAACCCAGGCACTGGCCTCCTGCCAGGAAAGTGACAGTGTGTTAACACAGGCAGACCCTAGAGCCAGAGGACTGCACTGCAGACTCAATGGGGAGCATTTTTTAAATGCACAGGATCTGTGCTCTTCCTTGGCAATTTTGCTGTCATTCAAGGGTGAGAGAGAGTGGGTGACTGCCCAGCTTGCTCTGCACAGAGGAGGAAACTGAGAAGGAACTAGAGGTGAGGCACAGGAGAGCCGCACCCTCCATCCCTGGGCAGTGTCTCAGGCAGGCCTTGACCAAGGACACCCCAGGTAAAGGACATTCTCACAGGATCCATCGTCTATGACACTTTCTGCCAAAATTTTAAAAATGCAACTCAACTAAAAGATCAAATGAAATGTGAAGGCCAAAATATGGGATGGCATGGTGTAAAATGATGTCAGGATTACCTTACAAGATACAAGGCTAAATACGTTGTCAATAAGTATTCCTATTAGAAAAAACATATTGAGACTAATGCTTTAAAACTTCAAAAATTTTTTAGGAGACACTGTTGAAGAGGTTTTTAAAAAGTGGTCAGGTTAGCCCACTGCTACAGTGAAAATTACTGAATGTTTATAGATCGCAATTTGGCAGTATAGAAAGCCTTGAAAATTATGTGCCATAGAAATTATAGTCCCACAAATATATCCTAATAATGTGGTCGTGGGTGTGTATAAAATGCCAAGCTGCAAAGATGATAATTATAGACTTATTAACAGTTTCAAAACATTGACTCATTCAGGAGAAGGGGCGTGGTTAAGTAAGCTGCAGGACTTCCGATAATGAAGTCTCAGCAGTGAGAAAGGCTGTCTAGTCACTGATGTGGAAACAATTCCAAGGAAAAGTTTCAAAGAAAATTGGGTATTTCAAGGAAAGTTCCCATGAGAGATGAACCTTCCGGAATAATACATAAAGCACCATATGGTAATCGTCAAATTAAATGTGAATATTAACATTCACATACATTAATGTATCTCTGTGTATGTGTGCATGCAGTTTATATTATTTTCCAAGAACGAGCATTTAAAAGTATAATGTATCTATGTACGTAGTTTGTATTGCTTTCTAAGAAAGATTATTCAAAACGACAAAATAATACCTAGTGTTTTCTAATCACTGAAGCCAAAACCATCTGCGTGTCATTTATGGTGAAGGGTAAAACAGAAATTCAATTTTACACTTGCAGAAGCTGAGGTCAATTGAAGGTCACCAGTGATGCAGATTAAGGGAAGAATAGAACTGGGGAGAAACAATGGGTCGTATTCAGGACATGTTGTGCTCTGATTTGCAAACTGGAAAAAAAAAATCTAGGGGACAACTTACTAGCATTTGTAGAAAGAAAGCTCCAGGAAAGTCTGAATTGCATAAATCTCACCATGACTAAATTGTAGGAGACCTGGAGTTCGTTTTTGATATGAAATCACTGGATCACTTGCCCAATACTAAGGCCCAACCGAAGTTAACAGCCTCCCGTTTAACTCAGAACATCAAGCACCTTGCTCAGCAGTTCAGGGAAGGGCGAATGCATTCTAGGCTCACTACTCTGCATTACACTTCATCAGAACCAAATAAACAAAGGCTGTATTAGTCACACTTGTGCAAGTTCTTCCACTGCACTGCAGCCAGAGGATTGTCATGTGATCCTGTTTAAACCAACTAAACATCTGGACATGTGGAAAGTATTCCTTAAAGCGCAAGAGGACCACACGCTCGACGCGCCTGAGGTCAGTCCCTGGGAGGGTGGATGGAGCCAGCGGCCGGAGCTGGCTTACTTACAATGAAGCCAAGCTTCTTATAATCCCGCGTGTACATGGACTTGCGTTTCTCCACGCTCCCGCTGCTGTTACTCGGTTCAGACTCCGCATCAAAAGCAATTCTTCGAAGTTCAAATATGATGTCCCTCTGAGCCTGAAGGAGTTGGGGAAGAGGGAGGAAAGAGGGAGAAAAGAGAGAGAGAAAAAGCTGCTTTCACTGTGCAATGGGACATGGTCTTCCCCTTTCCCAGGGTCTAAATGAATCACTGCACTCAAGCAAAAGAAAAACATACAAAGTCAGCAGTGATCTACATCAGGGCTCTACAGAATGCTGCTTCCTGCTGCCATCCAGAATGACGATAGTCCGATTACCCTGGCAGCAAAGTCATCTGCAGTACTAAAACAAGTGCCCAGGGCAGTTCCAAACGAGGGCCCCAGATGCCATAGGAAAGGGGGGAACCACTGAAGCTAAGTCGGAGAATCTGGGAGGTGCACAAGGCTTGCAAGCAGAGTAGCATTTGAGTTTCAAAGGATGCCTTTCTCCACTGGGGAATGACTTCGTGGAAACCAAGATGGGCTAAAAATAAAAGGAAGAGCAAAAGGTGGAGAGCACCCCAGTGTTCATTCACGGTGTGCTACAGACATGCAGAGGGGGGTATTAGTACTCAGCCTTAGGAGCCAAGTTCTGACATGTGCTGCCGCACAGGGGAGGACCTGAGGTATTACGGGAGTGCAGTAAGCCAGACACAGACACAAAGACAGCACACACTGTCTTCCTGCACTCATAGGAGCGTCTTAAAGTGGTCAAATTCATGGAAACAGAAAGCAGAATGCTGGTTACCAGGGGTGGAGGGCAGGGGCTACTGGGAGTTATTGTGTAACAACAAGAAATTTGGGTCTGTCTGTCTGTTTTTGCTATACCGGGGCCGGAACCCAGAGCCTTGCACTCAGCTACCCCCCTAACCTCTCTTTTTTTATTTTTATTTTATTTTGAGGCAAGGTCTTCCTAAGTCTCTAAGTTACCTAGGCTAGGCTTGAATTTGTGATCTTTCTGCCTCAGCCTCCCACAGGGCAGGGATTATAAGTATGCACTGCCTTGCCTGGCTAGGAATTCACCTTTGCAAGATGAGAAAAGATTTCTGGAGATAGACGGTGGTCGTGTTTTCACAACCATGCAAAACAGACTTAATGCTCACAAACTGTATACTAAAACTGGCAAATTTCATATTACACATATTTGACCACAATATTGTTAATTTCCAAAAAAAAAGAGGGGGGAAGAGTTTATAAACAAGGAGGGTTGCTCCTTATCAAGAAGCAGTGCCCTCTTCAGCAGCAGCAGCAGTAAGGTAACCGTCTAGTCTCCACGGGGTGACCACGTGCAGCCTTGCCAAGCACATGGGGTACAGCTGGGGCCTCTCTACCACCCTTGGTCGCGTGGCCTCACGCCATGGACAAAGTGTTGCCGCAGCCACACACTCCGCATCTGCAGTGCACATCTGCAGTCGATCAGGCCCTCACGTGCCAGTAATGAGCCTCTTCCCTTCCAAAGCTGCAGCTCTGTTTAAGCTGAAAATGTGCTACAGCAGAGGCAGCGTTCCCAGCTGTTTCCTCTCCCTCTGCTTGCACACAGCCAAGCCCCCACCCCCACCTCTGGGTGGAGACAGAAACTTTCATGCACGAGCACCAGAGACCGGGCAGGGAGCTGCAGCCAATAACCAACTAACCAAAATGCCAGCCCAGAAATCAGGTTCAACTGGGGGACCGCCCTTGGCATGGACTGCTAGAGAATGGAAATTACTCCCCTGCAGAGTCAAAATCATACAGCGCTAACCCTGGGCCCCTATGAGCTGAGAACTTGGCCCCAAAATTATCTCCAAGGAAGGGATGGTGGCCAAGAGCCAAGGCCTGCAATCATGGGACATCAAGCCACCTTATCTGACACAGGAAGAACCTGCACGTGTTTGGGGTGTAATGGAACAATCCATTCGGTTTATTTTCTGCTCCTAGATTCAACTAAATTTTAAAGTTGTGCCCCCAAGTTTTGAGATGACAATAAAACAATTATAGAGTCATCGAAAGCTCAAGACTTCTGCTGATATTCTCTCCCTCCTCCCCCCAGGCTTTCACTGTGTCCAGAGAGCACCCACCTGGTCCTGCGGGTCCATCTTGGTCATCATTCTGTCTTCCAGGAGGTTGAAGGTGAGCACTTGCAGAACATAGAGCTGATGTGCCATCTCGTTATTGATGGCCCGCTGCGCTCGGATGACATGCTAGGGAAATGGTTATAAGTAACACTTTAAAACGTGAATAAAAGATGAGAGAAAAAGCTGATAATAGCAGTGGGCCCTCTCCATGATGTCAGGTGGAACCTCAGCATCTTTCACGGAAGGAAACTACAGGACCAGCCTCTGGGGAAAAGCCCAGGCAATGCCATGAGGGAGCTCTCCTGGGTGTGCCAGAAGCCAGTGAGTTTAATGACTGTGGCCAGAATGCAAGGAAAGACCTACTGCATGCAGGAGGGCATGAGAAGGAAGGCACTTCAAGAGAGGAAGTGTCACTGTGAGAGCTTTTGGAAGACACCCTTGGGTACCCTGGAGGGTCCAATGGTGCATACGGATCATGAGCAACTCTACCACCATCTTGGCTATGGGCTGTCTGCCAGGTGATCCCACTTCTAAATAGGGAAGTTTGAGATGCGGAAGCAAAGCACTGCTGTCCTTTCTGGGAAACACACTGTGGGAGCTCTACGAGACTCACCCCATCACAGTGCAATGAGCAAATGCGCTGGCTCCTCACTGGAACAACTGAGTGAAGAATAAAATGGCCTGTCCCACAGTGGACCTAAAGGGAGTGGCAGGAAGCTGGACACTGGCCTCTGCTCCCACCATGGCCAGGCTGGAATGGGAACGGATTAGCTGCTGCCGCTTCAACACTTGGCCTGATGTAAAACCTCTTGGGAGAGACCCTGTCTGTACCCTAAAAAAGCCAAACCACCAGCCAAAGGGGTGAGACTCCATTCACATCTATGACTGCAATATAGAAAGAGCTTTCTCTGGGCACTCTCTTGTTCTAAGCTATCCTTCCCTCAATGCCAAAGTCCCCAGTATGGAAAACTTATCTTACAGCCAGGACTACAGGAAGCTTATGTTCCCTGGATGCTTCCCGACCAGGCAGACACGGATTAAAACAGTCGACTGAGGAAGGAGGAGTGGGAAGAGAATGGGGAGAGAAGGAAGGGAGGAAAGTGTACAAGAAAGTCGCTGAACCAAAATTCCTGCTGGGGGAAAAGCCAGACAATAGGATATGAAGGATATCAAACCCCATTCTCTTCATTGTCAGAACAGAATGGAAACTTTTTTAGTGCACACTTAGTATCTACAGTGCATGAGCATCTACTTTATGAATAGCTCCCGAAGTGTCTACACTCTAGAAGGCTGCCAAAGAGAATCAACCTCAAACTTCTAGCCACCAAAGTCCCATAAAAGCAATGCCATCAAAGTAAACTGACCTCTGAGACAGATGGCTACTGTCACCTCACCCACTTGTTTCTAGGGACATTCTAACCTCAGCTGCCACACAGGGTAATATCAAGAGCAAGGGGAGACCACATTAAGTCGTCACTTCTATCCCTTCTGCTCCCACCTCTGAGCCATTCACTGCAGGAGACTCTGATACTGCAGCAGCTACTCTTTCTGAGAACCAACAGAAATGACGGTCTATTATGCATCCTTCTGCGCTTTCTAAAATACACATAATTTGATGCAGGCCTTCTCAGGATACTGTATGCACACACATTTCAGATTTCTGTGGGAGGAGCTATGCTTCTCATTCTCAAACACCTGGGGCATCTCTTTTGCCTAAATAATGAAAATTGCACTTGTGTTTCTCTTCATTCTTGAAAGCCCAGAGGTTTCCAATTCAACCCTATCACAACTGGCCTTGGGTTCTGCAGTACTTCATTCCCTTGCTCTCATAAAGTTTTTCATTTTTTAATGGCTTCCTTGCACGGGTGTGCGTGTTGTGGTGTTGCGGATGCTTCAATGTGGGGGACCCTGCTGATCCTGGTGAAACTGTCCTTCCTAGGCCTAGGTAGTTTTTTGGAGGTAACAAGTGACTTCTTCACAAGCACACAGCTGGGGTTCAGTCCACCTTTCCCTCACCCAGTCACCCAGAGCTGTGTACCAGACTCCAGAGACAGCCTGCAAGCCAGCAGCCCCTGTGGTTATTCAAACTGGCCAGTCCTACACCTGCTTAGGCAGGTCCCTGGCCCCAGGGGTTCCTTCCCTGGAAAACCACAGTGTGTGAAGACTCTGGCACACATTTCCCTCTAGCTGCTTGGCCCCCCTGACCAGCCACGCCTTCCTCGTGTGGCCTCCCTGGCATGGCATCCCCTCTCTTGGGAGTGATAAGAAACAAGCCTCCCTTTATTTTCAATGACCATGATCTCTGGAGCTGTTGGCTTCATCATACCTAAATAATAATAAAACTGACACTTTAAACGTGTGTGTGTGTGTGTGTGTGTGTGTGTGTGTGTGTGTGTGTGTGTGTGTGTCTGTTTCAAGCCTGCTGAACTCTTCTTTGGAATCGCATTATCAGAAATGCTTCCTGGGCCAATAATTTAGCTCAGTGGCACGGCATCTGCCTGGCAAGCGCAAGGTTCTGAGTTCGATTCCTAGTACCAGGAAAAAAAAAGAAAATACTTCCTTTCTTCCTTCCCTGCTGCTGCTCCTCCTCCTCTCCTTCCTTTCTCTCTTTCCCTTTCCCCTTCTCCTTCCTTCCTTCCTTAAGCAGCAAACCTGTTTTCTTTCAGTAACTCACAATGCCTCAGCACATCTTGCCGGGTGGCCTCTTTTTGAACACTCACAATGTGACACTTAAGGCTTTTTTTTTTTACCAAGCTTTAAGGTCACTTTGGATGAAAAGCCCCTGTGCACATCTTTCTGTCCTTCTTCCTGCAAGGAGGTTGAGAAGATGATGGCTAGAGCCTCAGGACTTCTCTTAGAGACATGATGTTTCCAGCTAGCATTCTGATTACGAATAGTAAAAGCTTCTGCTGGTGGACTTCTTAAGCCTTGGAACCCATCTTTCCTTCCTAGCAAAGCTGAAGCTGCACAGTGCTACTGCCCAGCCCTCTTGCCCAAAGGTGTCTCTCATTACCCAGAACAGGTCCAGGGGCTCTGCCCTCCAATCCTACCAGGCAATTCCTGAGGGAAGCCTTAGTTATTCCAACGCCTGGACCATGCTTTTCCCTTCTCAGTGGATTCTATTGCTTAAGCAGTTTCAAATCACAGAGCAAACCACAGCCCAAAGCCACCAGAGGAGAGAGGTGACAGTCCCAGGTTGTGACCCCCAAACAACGGTCCCAGTGCACAAGTACTCACTGTTAAAATGATGGAACGGAGCTGCTTCTGTGCCAAAATATTCGCCATCTCCTGTGAAAGAGAAACACACCCACGCCAAGGCTGAGGTTAGAAAGACACACTTCATCCCAGCCAAGAACGACTTCATCCTGGGAGTGCTCTGCAACTGTACATCAGCAGTATTTCTTAGGAAACAGTGCACTCCAACAGGCAGGAGTATTCAAATTATGGTTTGAAGTTCCATTTAGATAACAAAATCGAGGTCCATTTTCTTTCCAGAAAAAAGGAGAGTGGTCAGTAACAATCAAACACTTCAGAAGAAGTGATGGTTGTCCATTAGAAAGCCTCGCTGTCTTTTATGAGGCCATCTATGGTCAGAAAGGGTTTTCTGGACACCACATGGCTCCCATGAGCACTATCCAATAGTCAGAGCCATCATTTTAAAGATCTAAACCATGCAGAGACCAGTTCAGCTTAATCAGTGCAAATCCAAAGCAAGCCACATACATCCTATGCCTGCAGGAGAGCCAAGCGAGCTTTAGCGAAGGACCACATCTGGGCAGAGGTTGCACTCTGGTGTTCACGCTGGGCTTCAACTCCACTAGGCCTCACGTCTAATGGGCTGTGCTTTGTGCTTTGGGATTTCCTAACCAGAATAGAGGATTTGAGGGTGATTAAATGAAATGATTCACACACTTGCTTTATAAATATTTACAAGTAGCTACTGAGAGAAAATTAAATAGTGCAGCATAGCTGTGACATGTGCTGTCAGAAAATACTGCTGATATTCAGGAAGACACCCAAAGGTTGTTCTGGTATTATTTAATGTTGCTACTTTTACTGAATAGAGAAGAAACTAAGCTACGATTTAAAAAAAAAACAAAACAGGAATTCTACTAGATTCAAATTCAAATAAATTTGCAGAAGCCAGGAGAACCAAGAACACAGAGGGGGAACTACAAGGGGACAGACAGGCAGGGTAGACAGGAGCAGAATGGGGCGGCAGGGCCTCTACTCAGGCTGACAAAGGGAATGTGAGTGACTTACAGTCAGAGGACAATCAAGGATGTCAACATTGCTCTCTACATCAACCTAACGGCGTCATGGCCACCACAGAAAGGAAAGCAAGCAGGAGAGAAGAAGGGATGGGAATTCAGAGCACTGTTAAGAGGTCAGCAGCTTCGACGTCACGCCCCGGACGACGGACTGAGCCGAGGCAGTCGGGTGAGCCCACAGGGCTGGACCCTATGGTCCTCAAGTTCCAGCCCCAGTTCTGCTCCTGAGCTCTCGAGAATACATCAGAAACAAGCTAAGTGGGACCCAAGGAAAGGTGCCCTCCACGCTGTGGGGCAGTCTCTGCTGTCTTCCCCACCTAAGCAGAAGGGCCCCTTGGGTTGTTCAGTTTATCGGATCCCATAACAAAAGGCCCAAAGGAGCTTCTCTTAATTATTTTAAATTAATAAAATTACTGCCTGCCAAACATACAGATTTTTTTCTGTGCAGATTTTTGCCCATCATTGGTTTGTAAGATTTTAAAGGGTACAACATCATTTCTAGCTTCTCCTGCAGTAATTATTAATTATATACATACAACATTGATCTTCTGAGCAAGATTATGGGCTCATCCAGGGTACAGAGAAAGCCTTTGTGTTCTAAGCCCAAATCACGATGTCTAGCAAAGAGCAGACAATAAATGTTTGATGAAAGAGCGAATTAATACTTTAAATGATCCTCCTAGGGAACAGGAACTTTTACCAAAAGAAAACAGAAATATCCTGTCTACTGGATACTTTTATATAATATTAGGGAACTGTTTGAGTAAATATGAGAATCTATAGGGAATATTTTATAGCATTAAAATGATGCCAAAGAATGGATACTATAAATGTGGATAGAGATATACCAACAGTTAGATGCTCAACAACTATTTTGTTGTTGTTTTAAAAGCACTTTTTAAAATAAAATCCAGTGGATGTGGTAAGTTCACCTTTGGTTAAAAAAAAAAAATGTATGAGAAAATTTGCATAGAATTAGGCAGGAAATTGTGCCATGAAAGTCACAGGGCTGTGTAGAAGTCCAGTGGTTCTCTTTTTGTGAATTCAGCCATGGAGCCTGTCAAGCTTCCTCCTTGCGAATCTATCTTTTCTGATTTTTCTGCTGAGTTTTTTTTTAAGTAAAAAAGTTTTTTTTAAGTAATGCTGATCAAAACGAAATATTTGAAAAAAAAATTTGGAAAGGACATCATCAACCCATTTTGCCATTAAAACAGTAACCAGAATAATAGAATATAAGATGAAGGAAAGGATTCGTTTCCCCACTGGGAAGCAACCCTTCCCCCAAAACAGCAAAACACATATGTCCTTCATTTATTCAGAGAAATAAAGTGTCCTGGAGGTTAGGAAAGCATGGCTACCACCCCAAGGGAAGGAGACCACGAAATAAGGGAGAGCTGTTTCAAATCATTCCAAAATCACTTTATACATCTGAAAAGTAAAGAAAACCCAGTTAATGGAGTCCTATGAATGTGTTTGCCCCTAGTCAGAAAGAGACTGTGAAATAAAGAAGAGTCTTGGAAGTGCAACTGATTCAATGTCTTAAGGTTTTAAACATCAACAAACAAACAAAAAAGATGTTCTATAAGTAAAATACACAAATATTTGATTACATTTTAATCTGACTGGTGAGAATATGGGTGTAGGGTATTCAAGGCTTCTGGAAGGTGTTTTCTTGGCAAAAAGAAGGGAATTCTGTATGTGACGCATCCTCTGTGGGTGCTCAATGGGATTCTTTGCAGGTAAAAGCAAGGGTAAGTCTGGGCTTCTAACTTTGGTTCTGGACAGTTTGGTAATGTGGTCAAGTTCTTTACTCCCTGTGGTTCTTGATATCTTCATTGGTAAAATACAAGTAATATGGGTTTCTCTTAACATGAGAATTAAAGAAAACAATAAGATATAAACAGTAAATAAAGCAGTAAACCCTGGCTTTAGGGCAGGTTCCTAATGATATTGTCATAGGCAGCAGGCTGTCCTTAATTTTCTTGTTTGCTAAAAAAATTTAAAACTCAGTCAGTGAAAATGTCAGTGTCAAAGTTAGCCCAGTTAAATGTTATTTTGCTTGTGCAGTGGAGTCCAGATTAAGGTGGACTCTGCTGTTTTTACAACCTAAAGGAATTCAGCGCTATCACAACTGGCTTAATGTGCTGTTCTGCAAGTCCTCCAATGACCTTCAAATAAAAATACCATACTAACATTTTTTCTGGATAAACTTGCAACCTTTTCAGTGCTAACTCTCATAACTCAATTTTTTTAAATATAAAAATCATAAAGCTTCCTTTGTTTTAAGGAAGAACAGTCTTAAATTCAATGGTTTATAAAGTCAACATCAACTTTCCACTGGCAAGAAAATATCTTGTAGCTCTTTTTATTTCAAAGACCAAATTAGTCATGTGATACTTTGTCGATTTCTGCTAGATCATATATACTATTTCTTAGTGGGACTGTTTTCATGAATGGTTTAAAGATATTAGACTACTCTTTGTGGAAATTTATTACTATTATAGAACTAGACATCTAGACTGGGTCCTACAATCCTATACTGCATAATTTTCAAAAGGAAAAAAGATTTGTTTCTCAGAATCCAAACTTCTTATTTTATTGGCATCCCATTACATTTCCACTTTATGAACATTCTGAAGTCAGTATGGATTGACATCTGATTCCCTATTCGTCCACAGCCATGAGAATCTAACTCAATAAGGGAAGAGCAGTGTTTGGTGTAAAGCAAGATGCAAACGTCTGCGAGGTGTGTGCATCTTCCTGGATGTGTCTAGATCCAGAGATCCATAGCCCTTGTGGGCATGTACTTCCATTTCATCCCATCTAACTTCTTCCACAGATGGGGAAAGGGAACTACAGGGACTGGAACACAGCCTTCCTGACCACCATCATCTACACTTTGTTGCCGTGTGGCCTGCCCAGTGGAGAGATCATGCTCCTCCAATGCCCCGTAATTCCCCAGGCTGCCTGGGAGTTACCATGAGCTCAGTATTTAGATAAAAATATCAAAGGAGCAGCCCATCCACAATGCCTTGTCAGACCTGCACAGCCACCATTAAAAACTCAGCCTGGATATGTGAGCGTGCCCAACACAGGCTCAGGAGGTCTGTCACCTCTTCCTTGCTGTACCCAATTCAAATTAAACACACAGGAAACCATAAGGGACACCACTCGCTGTGCAAACACAGGGATGAACAAATAATTCTAAGTGAAAACAAACCAGAACCCCTCACACTTAAGTCACCAGGATTTAAAAACTTTTCAAATGAAAAACTAAATAAAAATTCCCAAGTGGAAATTTTATTGTGATCCATGCCTGTAATTCCAGCACTCTGGGAGGCTGAAGCAAGAGGATCCCAAGTTCAAGACCATCCTGGGGAACTTAGAAACTTGGCAAAGTGTTGTCTCAAAATAAAAAAAAATTATAAAGGGCTGGGGATGTAATTCAGTGCAAAGGCCATGGTTTAAATCCCCAGCACCACAAAAACAAATAAAATCCTTGACACATTACTCAGTAGGAGGTTAGCTTTTCAATATTCTTTTAAAACAACTCATTGAAAACATCTCCTGTTTCCACCTACATTTTACAAGAGGTGAACTTCAACCAGGGTGATAATGTTATGTTGACAGGAAAAACGCTCTGAGGATTGGGCTAAATTCCAAGAGCTGACATAATTCCACTTCTTCCACATCCCCCTCTATCGTGGCCCTACCCTTAGTTGAAAACAGGTAAAGAAGCTACCGACCAAAAAGACTACCCAAGGAAAGGCTTTCTTTGATACACATCAGGGGCTCCCTCCTCATTTAGGACAGATGAGAATATGCTGCTCACATCCACAAATGGACAGGTGGTGCTGTCACCGATGTCACCGAACAAAGGGCCACCTGACAGGGGAAATCTGTTATCTCAATGGGGGAGCAGTTTGCATATTTTCCCTCTTGCTTATCACCTTCGATCTCCCTTCCCCTGGGTGAATGAGGCCTCTACCTCCCTCATCACAGTGAGCACCCAACAAGTGATGGAGGCCATTTGGGCTTCTAAGTCCGCTTGCACCACAGCAGCAACACCTTGGCTTCAACCTGAGATTACCTTCCCTGAAGGGCCTCTTCTGCCACAGCCCCTGGGGCATGTCCACCTCCACCCACTTCCCTGGCTCAGCCTTGGGGCCACTGTAGAGCTCCCATCTGGGGGTGGAGCAGCTTACCTGCCTCCTCTCATCTGGGGCCTTCAGGAAAAGCGCGTTAATGACAGCAATGGTGTAGGTTTGGATTTCTTGATCTGTGCTATAAGATCCAGAACACAGAAAGTCAGAAAAAGCGAGTCCCAAGTCAGAGATCCTACCGCTCAGTATCTCCCCCGCAACCCTCTGATGGGATTAAAATGTGAACCCAGGAGACATAGTGGTTGTAGTAGTAGTAGTAGTAGTGGCGTAGTGGTAGTATACATGTTTGTGCGTGATGCTCTGTTTGATATATGATATATGCCAAAAACAGTGACATCTCCACATTCCTACACTTATTTCAAGGAAACTGCTTTGCCTCCATGGGTATATAACATATTCTAAACATCTATTTCCAAATAGAAACGTTTTAGCAGTGAGAAGAAGTGTTTCTGTTTATAAATTTGTTTTTCATTGGAAACAAATCAGAGATTCCCAATGAAGCAAAGATGGAAGGTAAGCTGCATAGTGAAGAGTGGGTAAGAAAGACCCAAGGCAGGTGCGAAGGGCTGCCTCCACGCGCTGTTGGGGGGAGGGCGTTATCAGGCTAGATAAGGTAGAGCTTAGGACACAGCCAGGGTGGGATTCGCAGCCCAGTAAACTGTGGCCACCTGTGCAGCCTCGATAAGTTCCTGGCATCTCTCTAAGGCACAGTTTTCTCATCTGCTACAAAGGTCAGAACACATCGATTTCCCTGGGTTGCAGCAAAGGTGACATAATGAAATAACACATATAAAGTCCTCCCCTCTCTGCTTTTTCGGGAGGTGTGTTGTGGATGGACCTATGTGCTCTTGCAAAGCCAACATGCTGAAGATGGAGCTCATATCCAGAGACCACTGCCCACATTTTCTTGACTTAAATTCCAAATGCTGGTCACCCTCCTACCTCTCAACTGCTCATGCATTTGGGGAGTTCATATTATAACATCAAACATGTTCAGCGGACCGAGAACACCAATACTCCCTCTCACTCCCACCCCTCACAACCAGCCTCGGTGAGCCAACCAGGTCTTCTCTCACACGTGTGACCAGAGGGCCTAGGGACAGGAGAGACTAAGAGCTGGTCATGCTTGTGACAGCCAATATGCTACAGAAAAGGACTCCAGGGAGGCCACACTTTCTCTCCGTCCCAGAGCAGGGCCACTTGGTCATGTATGGATTCTACAAGGTGCCCCAGAATCTTTCCCATAAACCCCTTCCTGTGTACGCTGGCTCACAATGTGCGTTGCAAGCCCAAATATTAACATATTGAGTCTCTCTGCCCAATGGAGTGGTCATGGGTGCCCATGGGCAGGGTGGTGGCACTGGAGGCAACCCACTAACTCCCTAAGGGTGGAGAGAAGGAACAAAGCCCAAAGACTGCACAGGCTGCTAAGCGTCCGTCTAACTTCACTGTATAGCTTAAGCATCGAGAGGGGAAAATGTGCATGTTATATTATAAAATTCAAAAGAAGTACATCATGTAATCACCTAAGTTTCCAGAAGAAGCCTGCCTTCAGATATTCCTTGTTGAAAATACCTAAACTTCTAACTAATTACAAAAAATATTTTATGATTTCACAGAACATATTATCTTACATAGTTAAGGAATGGCTCTGTGAAAAACTTAGGAGAACAAAACTGCTATTATGTCTTACTACAAATAGAGCTCCACCAACACCTAGCAAAATTCATCAAAAGCAAGAGCCTCCTAATGGCGGGAAGCCAGGGAAAGAACTACCAAGGAGGGAGGGGTGGAGCAAACGTGATGTATGGTTTGGTTTTAAACCTGATCAAGATTCACTTTTCTGCATTCAACTGAACCAATACCGAAGGCTCCCCAGGGTACTGTGCAGGCTATCTCCCCAAAGCGTCCCCACCCCAGGGAACCCTGGCAGCTTACCCTTGCAGGTGAGGGATGAGCTGGCCAATAGTGATCTCCTGCGCCACCTTCTGGTAGAGGTCGTGGCTGTTGAGCACCATGGACTCCAGAATGGCCAAGGACCGCTGCAGGATTGAGATGTCCATGGCAGACTTGTTCACAAAACTTGCTATCTGAAAACCCAAGAGGCACAACTCATTGCTTGTGATAAGAGGTGCAGAGGAGAAGAGAAAGGACAGCTAAAGTAAATCAGGAACTTGATTCACACAACCAGATGCCACAGAAAGTTCATGTTCCACGGTTTCTCTTATATGAGACACCCAAAATATAACTAAAGAATCAGAAACAGGAGAGAAGGCAGGAAACACGGAGGTCGACTTTTTGGAGTTAGGTAGGGGCTTGGGGAGTAAAAGAGTCAAAAACCATCAAGTATCATAAAATATGTATATGTATATAATACACATATATATACATATACATATTTACTCATTCGTAAAGAAGAGTATCTATTATGTACTATACACATAAACTAATAAAAACACATACGAGAAAATAAAAAGGACAACCCAATACTTAGGATGTAACATACAGCAAACTACGAGCCAACGACTGTCCACACCATCATTACAATGTTATATAATGATGTAATTTCATAAGTCAATGATAATCAAGCATCTCTTTAAGAGACACCTTTAAAGAACTATACTCCAGTTTTCCCAGGATAGGTCTCCCGAGTTTCAGCTTTCGGGGCAGACAATTTCAACACGTATCTCCTAGGTATCCCTGTGTCCCTCTGAGATGCTCATTTCAGCACACACTAGTAGCTGTACCTCTCCCAGTCCCGAGCTGCCCCTTCATCCACAGGGGCCTGGACTTCTATGCTCTTCTTATGTCCCTGTTACATTCTTAAGGCACTCATACAAATCACACTTGTCAGCATAACTCAATTGGCAAATTTTCGGTACCTGGCTCCTCTCCTAGCTATTCCTAAATTTAAAAAAATCTTACCCTTATTCCTGTTTCTTGTGGTCACAATAAATTCTTCTCATCTCTCCCAAATGTGACAAACAGGAAGTCATTTAAACTAGCAGTGCTGCGTCAAGATGATAAATTCTGTCCTAAATGTATTCCCTATGGAATTAATCACTAAAATCCCAGATATAATAAATCATAATATCAGAGAAGTAAAATAGGGCTAGAAAAATGTATCACAGCAATCCAAACACACAGGCGCCATAAAGGTTCTATTTTAGAGGCCTCATTAAAACTTATTGCTGTCGGTTGACAACTGGTGTTAAAAGGCATTATTATATCAACACAATGACCACTTTCTTAAAAGCTAAACAACTTGGCTCCCTGACAAGGAAACATTAACTGCTTCCCTCTGTCAACACCGACTTCTCTCTTTCTGCCGTCCCTCCCGTATATGATAAAAGGTGAAGGCACCCACAGCCAATCCTACTTGCTATTCCAATTGTCTCCGGCCCAAGGACTCCCTGGGGAAGCTGGGGGGTCTGGGTGCAGACACCGACACCCTGGCACATGGCACCAGGCACATGTGTACCTCAAGAGGTAAAGAACAAAGAAATAAGTGAGTTCAGTGACATGATGATTTTACGTTCCAGAAGCTATTTTGTAATACTGCCTATGGTACAGGAGAGGGTGAGAATTTTAAGATCCTCAAAAGACTGTGCTAGCTCTTTGCATGCCTGACAAACTTCCCCAAACTCTCCCCAGTCAGCGATGCCTTCGGGTCTGTTCTCACCTAATGAACATATGAAGACCCCACCCTCTGAGATACGGGGAACTGAACGCACAACCTTTGCACTGAGCTATACCCCTCCTCTTTCATGTTTGTTTTCAGGAGAGGGTCTCCCTAAGTCCTCCAGTTGCCCAGGCCGGACTTGAAAGTGCCATCCTCCAGCCTCAGCCACCCAGAGTGCTGGGATTACAGGCTTTCACCACCACTTCTGGCTCCCCTGTTCCCTCCTTCCTTCCTTCCTTCCTTCCCTCCCTCCCGCCCGCCTTTCTCAGACAAAAATTCAATCACCTTTGTTTAACCTGCAGTACAAAAATGGAACTTTAAAAGATAAATTTGTTTTTCTTTTAGAAATAAGCAACTTCCCCAAATCTCCTCTTCCTGAGCACATCACCAATACCCACTCTTCTCATTCCAGACGAAGTGACAGACAGGAAGATGCCACAGGCCCCAGCAGGCTGGAGCCCAGTTTCCTTTCCACAGGAAAGGGGACAAGGAGCTGAAGACGACTGGAAGCCACAGGACAACCCTAGAGTTCTGCATAGTCTTCCTATGCTCCCTCCCCTCTGTTCCTTCTATAAAAGATCCTTGCTCACCTGAACAGGGGGATATGGGGATTTGAGGAAAATGAGCCCCTTCATCTCCTTGCAGTTAGCTCTGAAAAATCCTTTTTGCCAAAATAAATGACCTCCTTTCATGTGGTCAGCAGCAGCCAAGAGGGTAATAATAACGCACTGTGTTCATGGCTTCATATTTAACTTTGGCCCCTTCAAAGTAGAGAATAAGTTTTTGTTTGGTTTTGTTTTTTTAATTTTACCACCAAGACCTCACAACTTTTCTTTGTCCAGGTAAAATTCTTGGCACTGGTGTTTTGGAAACTGAAGCACTTGGTGAAGTTCATCATCAATACGACTGCTTCTCGCCACAAATTAGCTCCTCGTGCTTGTCCCTCCTTCTTGCTTCCATTATTAAACGTGGATGTGCTGTAACACACCAAGGAGTCTTCTGTCTGAGAAACTGTTGCTGATTTCGTCAAATTCTCCCCATACCCAGCCTTCATCTCCCCTTCATTCATTCATCCTTTGCTCATTCACGAGTCCACACATTCAAATATTACATAATTCTGTGGACCATGCAACAGGCTGGGAGCATACAGATGACCAGTACTCGGACAGTCTGTCATGTCCAGGACCTTATAACCTAGCCGAGACAGCTACACACGCCTTCACTCGAAAGTCCACGAAGTGTTTATTCTTGGCATCCACAATTTTATCTCTACCTGAATATTCCAACAAAGCCTAAAATTAAATGGTATGAAAAATAAACTCATTGCCTTTTTAGTCTTTCCTTCCCAATCACCACCTCTATGCAAGTACTCATAACTATTAGTGCTTACTGATCACAATTCTCTATTTTCTATCCCTGAGAATATATTTGAGAGGGTGTTCTGTTTTGTTTTGTTGAAGTACTAGGAACTGGGCCCAAGACCTTTTTACTAAGCTACAACCCCAGAACCTTTTACGTTTTATTTTGTAACCGGGTCTCGCTAAGTCACTAGGTTGTCTGGGCTGGGCTTGAGCTTGTCATCCTCTTGCTTCGGTCTCCTACAGTGCTAGGATTACAGGCATGTGCCACCACGTTAGGCTGAGGTGTGTCCCTCTTGACACACATTCAGTGGAGAGACATGACCCTGGCCCACTGGTCCAACTCATTCCTGAGTTACAAAAATACCATCATCTTCTGTTTCTTCTATGCACAAGTTTCCTATAGACTGTAAATTTGTTCCCTACTTCCGTCCATAAACAACCTTTGCACAATATTCTCCTGCATAGTATGTTCATTCAGTACTCTTGCTCTTTTCTGACAGGAAGTGTGCCTTCATGTCGTAGATTTTAACCTTCTTTAGAAACTATCAGCTCTCTTCTCCTCCCAATGGGCTAGTTCAATGGTGGTCAGATCATCTGTGATCTTTTTGTTTTAATTTGGGGTATTTATATCTCACATATATATCCATTTCTGTATATTTCTCTCCCATGAAACTCATCTTTTACTTTTCATGAACATATTCTTTCTATAATTTCACCTGTTCCTTGACATCCAGTACCAGTCATTTCAGAGTTCCAGAGCATGTCATCTGGTAAGTGACTGTAAAACACAATGACCTGAGTGCCTGCCTGGGGGAGAGTTGAAGACATTCACGACAGCCCTATGTCCAATCCTGGAGTTCAGTGATTGACACTAACTTATTTTGGCTTTATTTGTCAGAAGTTTTAACCAGATACTTAACAGCCCAGTACTTTCACTGAGTATTAATAATCAAGGAACTGGGCCTGATCCAAATGCAATGACAAATTTCCTCAAGGAACCTTGAGACAAGTTCCTCGGTAGTGGGTATACAAATTAGTGCAAGGTAAAAACACTATTCTCTGTGTCCAGCTTGGAAAGCACAGATCTTCGTACAGCTACAGAAGGTTATAGATTGCTTAAATTTTAATTTATTTCCATCTCCCCATCAAACAATGTATAATGTTTTCTTTTGCCTTTCACCTTTGCCTTGCTCTGTGACTGCATTTTTGGCTGACCCAGGTGTGGCTGCTTCAGCCAGGTACTTTCTGAGAACTAGCCCGTCTCCTAAGGGAGAAGAGGTTGTAGGAGTTAGTAATAACTACCAGGTGTGATCCAGCCATACAGTGAATGTTTATGTTCTAAACATTATTATAGCACAAGGTACACCGCCATGAATCCCCCTCAAAATACTCCCCTTCCCTTCAAACACACTTACTCCTTCATTTTCGACACTTTCGGAAGCAGCCTAGGAAGTCGTCTTCATGTCATTCGTTACAAGGTGTGATAAAAAAATACAGTGAACATTGCTGCCGAGTGCCATCCAATAGAAAGGCAGAATCATAAAAATATGACAGTGTGTCCTCATCCACCTTACTCACTGGATCTGACACCCTGCAACTTCCGGCTCTTCCTCAAAGTCAAAATGGCCAGAGAAGGAAGTATTTTTAATCAATTGAAGACATCAAGACAGTGCAACCAGACACACACAAAAGACGACTTCTAGAAGTGCTTCAGAAAGTGGCGGGGAAGAGGAGAACAGTGTGTTCTGTGTTTCTATGTTCAAAGCAAAGGAGATTCATGGTATTGTGCCTTTTACTGTAATAAACTCTTTCAAATGAAACACACACATTGCATTGTTTAATCACACTCTGTATACATTCAAGCTCCTAGTGCCGCTCTTTTATTTTTAAATGTTACGGTAATAAAACAGAGTAAGCACTATTTGGATAACTTAAGAAGCCAACTGGCATCACAGCCATGAGCCAACAATACATCTACCACTTCTTACAGTTATTTAAAATAAGACCTCAAAAATTCTTGTGCACATTATAAAAACCAAAAACGGCCAGAGAGAGCATGAAGCTTTACTCTCAAATTTTAAGTTATTTGGGTAGAGTGGCTCATAAATCTCTGAAAGTTTAAGAGGCAAAAAAGTACTGGGTCTGTGAACCCAAATCACAGGATGTTGGTCCAAGCCCAGGAGACAAACGGGCTGAGCCAGATCCTCCACACAGTGGAAGTCTCCAGATCAGGAATAGGAAACCTTCCTTCCAAGAGAAGGCACTGATGTTATATTTGGCTAGCAGAAATCCAACTCAGAGCAAGTTCTACTTTTTTTTTTTTTCCTTTAGTCCCTCTCCATGCCTGCTTACCCTTTCCCTAAGGAACCAAGTTTTTACAAAAGCAATCACATTATATATTGGTATCCAGGGACTCCAACTCTCCAAGTGTTTACGAAATGAAGTTATTGAATGCAACCACAAGTGGTAAACTGGAATTTACATCCATGCCTAAGCAAACAACAACCAAAAAAAAAGTGACAGCAAAGCAGATGGGGGCTGGAAAGGAAAAAAATATTTCTCCTCAGTGGTTTGAATTTGGCATTAATAGGAAGCCAGCTTCAAACCACAAAGATAGGCATCTTTTGTCTGTGTTGTTCCTACGATATTTGTTAAGACAGAGTTCCATTTAAAAGACGGTTGCCCACACACAACCCTGGATTGTGGGAGTATGTACTGAATCTGGTCCAGGTAATAAATTTTAAAAATTAAACTTACAAAAATTAAGTAATTTTCGATGACTATTTTCCAAATTCATGTGAGGTATCTTTAAGGAATAATGCAAAGGAAATAAAATAACCACAAATGAGGACATCGAATAGACTGAATATGTTGTCCTTTAAAAAAGCATTTAATTTCTTTTTTAATTTAAACTGCCAAGACTGATATGTACGCTTGGCTTCTGTGGACTTTAGTAACATTTTCTACTTCATTTCAATGAGTGAAAACTACTTTCTTCATTAGTCAGAAAACTAAATCACTGCCTCATTGTTGACAACTATTCACATCATTTAAAAAAAAAACAGCTTTGTAAATGCTTTCCGCTTATAACCAAAACTTTACTTAAGACATATTTAACAGAGCATCAATATTTCTTTAAGTTCTATGGCTTTTTTCAAGTTCTTGTTTTTTTAAGTTCCATGGCCTCTTTTCATTCATTCTTTTTGCAGTATTGAGAACTGAACTGAGAACAGAGAGGCTCAGAGAGGGTAAGTGTTACACCTCCGGCCCTTTTGCCTTTATTTCTAAGAGAAGGTCTCGCTAAGTCAATAAGTTACTCAAGTTGGGCCCAAACTTGCAACCTTCCTGTCTCAGCCTCCAAGGCTGGGATTACAGGTGCGTACCACCATATCTGGCTTGTGGTTTTCTTTTTTTAAAAAAATGCTTTGAAGCAAATGCCATTCATTCATTTCACAAAAATGTAGGAAGGTCTGACTCCACTCCAGACTATGAGGATTAAGTCATGCAGAGAGCTGTTTTTCTCCCTCCTGGACTCAGGGCCTACTGGGAGATACATTCAAATGACCAAAATACTGACAGAAAGGTAAGACAGATTGGCACAGGGGCATTTGGGAGAAATGGAGACAGTACTGGATAAACAATGACACGCCTGTACCCTAGGAAAGCATAACAGCAGCTGATGGAGGGGAATTCTGTGACCCTAGGACAGAGGACAGGATGTCCCCTCATGAGGACCTCCCACACCTCCAGAGTTGCTGCACCTTGACCTCCTAACCAGGAGCAACAATAGCCTTCTGGAAAGGGTTGCCAAGAGGGCCCAAAGAGCTAACATCAGTGTCAGACCAGCATAACTTGAAGGAACTCACATTCAGGACTTCGTAGTTACATTTTACATCAAGAAAAGCTCACTAGGATAGGGGCAAGGCTGCTGAGATGGAGGTAAGACTTGCTGTAAATTCGGAAAGAGTTAAAATTTTTGTGCAGTATAAACATCCACAAAATGCAGAATCTGTAGCCTTGGACCTGATTCTCTGGACCTCAGAAAGACAGAATGGAGCAATGCCTTCTCTTTTCATCACTGAATGCTTCCCATCCCTGTTACCCTCAAAGTTAGGTGCTTTGCTGTTCCTCTTCTCTTCCACACCCCTGACAAAGAGAAGAAAGGGCCTTCTTTTCTGTGGCTGTCTCAGTTGGGTTCCCCTTATATCATCACCTCCTTGGCTTCAGGGACGTATATATAAGGAGAGAAGAATCAGAGGTATGTCAAGGTGACCTGAGTTTTCCATAACTGTGAAAAGTGGAGTGATTCATCCCATGGGGCCACCATTCCCAGCACCCTCCTTGAGAAGACCAGGGCTGACCTCTGCCCTTCAACTAACTCCAAATGGGATCTCCCCAAGATACTAATCCAACGGAAAAGTGATAACTTCACCCAAGAGATGTCACCTGCATCAAGCCTCAAGGACAAGAGTGCCATAAGGAAGACATATTCATACTGAGGAAGAGGCATCATTACTTCTATAGGATTAATGCCCCAATGTACAACCTTCCTTAATTTAATCGTGGAAGAAAATGTCAGACAAATACAAACTGGAGAATATTTCACAAAATAAGTGGCTAGTAATTTTTGTTACGTGTCAAAGTCATGGACAACCAGGAAAAACTATGGAATTGCCATAGATTGGGACACTAGGAGATATGAGAGGCAAATCCTATGTGTTAGACAGACCCACAGAAAATGTTCTCTCTTACTCTTCAAAAGAGGGTATTAGGAAAACAGTATTTATCTATGCACACACAACTGGTGAAACCAAAGAAGGACACTGAATAGTATATTCACTTACTGGTTTGGATAATTGTGCCATCATAAGGGAATACTATACGAACGGGACACTGGAACTTTCCCTACTTTTTGTAGCAACTTTTCTTTAAGTCTACCATTATTTCAGAATAGTTTATACTTCAAGGAACCCTTCCTCAACTTTGCTTTGATTTTCTAGGTTTTGCGGATTCAATGAAGCTTTCATTTAGATCACCTTTCCCAGTAATCTACACTTATAAAATAAATTTATAAATTCCTAACATTTCTTGATCCCTAACACAACAGTAAAGAGAACAAAATGCCAACAAATGTATTTCACAAATACAAAGAGAGGAAAAGTTAATAAATGAATAGCCACCATGTTTTAAGGATATATTTCAAGGATAACAAGATCAGGTCTATTCACTGTTTTCTAGGAAGGGTGGAAACAGAATGGGAAATTTGCAGATGTGCCTTCATTATGTGTCCACTGCAGGGAATGGTGGGGAGCCTTCTGCCCTTTCCCCCCATACTGTCCATTGCTGGTCCCTTTATCAGCTTCCTCCCCCAGGAGGGGCCAGTTCTACCAGGGAATGCCTGAGACACTTTCTGCAGCCTGATTACAAATACTCCAGGGCCACAAGGACCCAGGCATGCCTCATTCTCATACTCCAGTTCAGACCTCGGAATCAAGGGAAGTCGTGTCCTCTCTCCCTGTTCTAAACACCAGTTTGGTAAGGGACCACTGAAGAAGGATGACTCTGCTCAGATCTTTGCTCCTACAGCATCCTGTAGAGTTGGCAGACCCAACCACAGGACACATGGATTACTCCTCAACTCCGGGTTCCCACATGCAATCCTGTATGACCTCTATGGGGAGAAAATACCACTTTCACATAGAAACCGGGTGCCTCCACCCCCACATGGATGACACTATGCTGAAGTACCACACCCACACTTTCACATAAAGAACCAAAGGAAACAGTAAGAGAAAAATTTTCCATGCAAGAAGGAGGGAAGGAGGCCTGAGTATAAGTCTGTTTTACCTTCTTAATGAATGCCACTGAAAACGTATCCCACGACACGATGCCATGGTCCATGAGCTCCACAAAGGCCGTCAGTGTGAAGGACAGCATGTCCCCAAAGCTGAAAAACAAACACAGTCACAGGCCCACGGCTGAGTGCCAGAAGAGATGCAGAAGTGAGGAATCTTTAAGGACAAGAATTTTCAGTCTCTCGGAATAAGAACTGGGTATAGGCATCTTTCTCACATCCGAGAGATGGGAAGGGGCAGATACTTCAAGACAGTCAGGAACCTCACAGGGACCTCAGTGTGGCAGCTGTATCACCTGAGACAGTCCACTTGCCCTCTCTGAGACTCTGCGTCCTCAGCTAATGAGCTGGGTGGTGAGCCATAGCTACTTAATCCTAAGGCTGTGGCAGAGCAATTTAAAGAGTGTGCAGTACAGAAGCAGTTGGTAAATGGTATAGAACAGAAAAGTTCCTCTGTCGATACATGCTAAGAGAGAGCAGTGTGCTTCTTTTGTTACCCACAGAGGAAAGATTCCAAATAATTCTATTAGAGGATCCTCATTTTAAAAATTAGGACAGGGGTCAGAAAAATTACTATCCTTGGGCCAAATCCTGCTGCCACTTCTATTTAAGGGTTCTAATAAAGGGTTTTTTGAGGGGTGAGGCTATAAAAATAAACAAAAAATTAATTCTATTGAGACTATTTGCCTTTGGGGAAAAAAACTGATCTATACCTCTGTGTGTAGACACAAATATAAATATACATGTGAATATACATGTTTTGATGTTCACTCTCTCTGTGTCCTTACAGAGAGTTTCACAGAGTAGCTGTAGAGATGACTCCCTGTATTGGGTTTGCTGACCTTAAAGCTTCTGTAGTGCAGAAGTCTGTAGGGAGAGCCTGAGGTGGGGCTTGGAAATTCAAAGTGCATAAGGAAGTCTATGGTTTGGGAAAGTGTACCCCAAAAGCCCATGTGTCCCCAGTTTGGTACTAGGCAGAGGTGGGGGGAACTTTTCAAGAAATAAAGCCAATGGGAGGTCTTTCGAGAGCACTGTGCAAATGTGATCTCTTCATCTTCCTCATTCATTACGGGCTATGAGATGGTGGGTTCAGGCCTCCACACACTCCCACAATACCATGCCTCACGCAAAGCAATGGAAACAACTGGTCAGGGATTGAAACTGCTAAAACTGTGATCCAACAGTAAGCTTCTTAACTCAGGTATTGTTACAATAATGGAGAGCTGCCATAACAATGGAAGTGCAGAGGAAAACACCGTCTCTCTATGGCAGTTCCATCCAGGTCCCTGGGCACAGTATGTCCTGGTTTCTAATGCTTTCAAGACTTCACTTTTGTATACACTCAGAATCCTTACAGATACTCGCTTTTATCCTAAATTATCATCATCATAAATGTTAACTCAAAACTCTCAACATTAATTCCATGACTTCACAGAATTATCACTATCATGATTTCTCCACTGTATTATAAATACAAATGCCCACAACCTACAATCGATTTTTAAAAAATAAGGGATGTTATTCAGATCTTTTACCTGCAGACTTATATATAAACTACTGTTTCTTTTAACAAAATTTCCTAACACATTTAGACCGAATCTTCTCACTTATTTTCAATTAACAGAATAGAAAACAAGTTCATTTTTAAGCTTCTCAATTTCCCTTCCTTGAATTCTTCTACTCAGCCCAGCCTTGAAAATGACTTTTGAAATTCTGCCTCCCTCAGGTGTTGTGATGCTGAAGAGAACCTAAAAAAGGGGATGTGCTTCTCCTGGAAGGACCGTGACCCAGAGCTGGGGACAGCAGTGGAGAAGTAGCCCAAACATGGGTGTGAATGGTCTTGGACTTCACAGAAAGTAGACAATGTAGCCAACATATTCAAGAATCAAAATTTTAATATTTTTTTATTTTAACATTAAACTACAAAGAGGGCAGGTGGTCCACAGACTGCAGGTGAACACACCTGCTGCATGACTACTGGATATGGATAAGTGGGCGGTGTCCAGAGTCAGAGGGCAGAAATTCCCTCCAGCTCTATGTGGACAAGTTAACCACTCGTCTGTGCTTCAGTTTCATCATTTATTAGAAACAAGGATGAAGATGGTGGCGGTGGTGAGACCTAACTTGGGGACAGCTGGAGAAAAGAAATAAGCTAAAGCCTTTCAAAGAGCATGGGGGGAACAAGCAACCAGAGAATGTTAGCTATGACCACTCTAAAAAATTAGCATTTTAGAAGGTGGATGAAGCTCCAGATTTTCGAGTGTTTTGCTGTCACTGTGCAAAGGACTCTATTCCTAGGACTCAGGAGGGAAGAGGGAATAAAGCAGTCACTAACAACTCTGCAGTTTGGAGCTGCATGTGGGCTCTTCCAGTCTGACAGGTGCCCCTAGGTGGCATCAGAGGGCCATTTCTCAAAAAGAATTCTAAACCAGAAAATGCAAACTGAAAAACAGAAAGCTAGAAAGGTGCCTGGAAAATGGATTACAAAGACTAGTAAGAAAAAGTTAAATGAAAATTCCAGAATAACTTTTTCTACAGAGGATGAGTCACAAGAAAATGCAAGTATCAGATTGCAAAAGAAGAAAACCATCTTGAAAAACATAAGAGCCAGGTAATACATGCAATTAGCACGATTTATTACTAGATTGGTTAGGAAATAATATTTCTGTGAAAATATTATTAAACGATAATGGATACATTAGCAAGTAATATTAGATATTTTATTTAGTTAAAAACAGACAAACATTGACCAGGTAATAACTACTAATCGGTATTTGCTTGTTGTACTTGGCATGCTGAAAGATTCCCACCTATGTGCCACAATACGAATTCCTAGACTCAGTTTGGATGGTGCCCATGGCCTCCTCTGAGGGCAGAGCTCTAGTTCTGATGTCAGTAACAGATTCTGCAATAGAGCAGGCAGTGGAAAAGGAACACGTACATTCCTGGAACCAAACTCTACGCTCCCAGTTAGCTATCTAAGACTGTGAATATAGGCAACACCCATCTTCCTGAGCTGCTTCAAAAGCAAATGAGGAAACTGTATGTATTCTCTCCAATGATCTGAAGGAGAAATGAGGGCTGGCTACCCGCTCGATGGAACTCTGATCCACATGGTCCCAAAGAGCATCTGGGAAAAATCCAACTCCCCTAAAATGCTCCAGAACTCTGCCTAAGCTGCAAGGACCATGGGCTAAAGATGGACAAAGAGTATTATTTGGTTTCCAAATGTCCAAGCTGGTTTGGGAGCCAGCGTTTCAATCATTTTATCTGTTAAGAAGGTGGATCATTGTTTCTAAGACTGCACAGAGGGCTCCCTCTGCTTTTTAGTTCTCTGTTAATGAGAATGATTGACAAGTGAGACAAAGGCTTCTCTCCTTCACCCACCAACCAAGGTGCCCATCGCAAGACTTCTCTCTTGGTCCATTGTTATTCAATGAAAGATAGGTGGGTAGATACACAGAAGTATATAATATAACCTATTATATGTCAAATGTTAGCATAATTTTGTGATCATGTATATTATGTAAAATATGTAACACAAATATTATAGAACTTCCTATATGAATATATCATATATATGTGTGTATGCATATATATATATATATATATATAATGTTTAATTTTTTTTAAACTGGTTGCTAGGTGGCATAGTATGTTTCCATGAAAGAGGACTTTTTAAAAATTCAGCCTTAAGATTTCAGATGAGAGGAAAGGATGTCACACTTAAATTTTATTACATATCAAAAGACCTCTTTCAAATGAGGTGGCTCTAAAACTCTTACCTAACCCTGACATCAATGTTTATTTCCACTCCCAGAGGGGTGATTCAGGTTCTAAAGATGCAAGGCAGAAGCCAAGGTTCTACTTTGAAAATCAATGCTGAGTACAGAGCAGCAAACGGTAAAAGCATTACAATTATAAAGTAACCACATGGCACATTCGGGAACCTTTATAATTATTTGGTTAATTTGTTTTTCTAAAGTGCTAGGCTAAAGATTGTGCAGTGCTGACTACCACAAATTAAGCCGTCTGCACACTTTGCATGCTGGTCGACAGCTGCTATCACAGGCAACACGCCATGTGTTCTGGAATGATTCAAATAAATGTTTCTCGTGAACAGAGTAGAGATCATCTTCATTCCAACAAAATCCAGCCTATCCCAAAACAAGCATGTAAATTTATGCTACTAATTTTATAAAAGAATACAGCTTCCAAATGTTTCTATAGAATGGCATGCTCAACACAGAATTGCACAAAAGATGAAAATAAAGGCACCATTTAAAGCTATCAAAATATTTTACTGAATAGATTCTTTGACTGTCAAACTTATTAGCTATCATTCTGCCTGGCCCTTTGATTTTTTTCCTATGTATTTTCTATTGGAGGGAAGTAAAATTTACACATACTAAAGGATATGGATTTCTAAGTCATCTTTTAGACCTTCACTTAGCCTTCAGAATCAGAGCATGGCTCATATCAGCAAACATTCCATGGCTCTTTTTTAAAAAATTTAAATGTACTCTGTTCCTTTTCACTGATTTATTTGTCTCTTCTCTAATACCAACATCATACTGTCATGACAATAACCATATGGTAAGTCTTGAAGACAGTGAAAATCTCCAACTTTGTTGTTGACTTTTTTGGGCTATTCCAGGTTCAGTGCATTTCCATTTAAATTTTAGGATTAGTCCATCATTTCTTTCTTAAAATTTGACTGCTGTGGCACTGAATCTATAAACTCATTTGAGGAGAGGTGCTACCATAAACATCTCCCAATCCATGAAATGGTGCACCTCTCCACATAGGTCTCTACATTTCTCTCTGCAATATATTTATTTCTCAGCGAACGACTACTACATGTCCCCTGTTAAATTTATTCATAAGAATTTTATATTTTTGATATTTTGGAAATATCTGGGTTTTTGTGTAATGATGTTACATCCTGAGACACTGCTGAATTCAGGAATTAGACTGACTTTCTTATAGTTTTCTACATAAACAAGAATGTCTTTTATGAACAGAAATGTTGTAACATCTCTTCTAATATGCTTTTCCTTCCTTTCTTGACTTATTCATTGGATAAGAACTTGTGTACAATGTTGAACAGAACTGCAGGAAGTACATACTTGCCTTTTTCCCCAACCTTTAGGACAGGAAAAATTCAATCTTCCAATGTTAAGTAAGACGGTTTTTTTTAAATGGCCGTTATTAGGTTTAGGAAGTTCTCTATTTTCATCTTGCTAAGAGTTTTTATAATGAATGGTTGCTGTATTTTATTAAATACTTTTTCTATTAAGATAACTTTTTCCCTTTATTTTTCTCCTTTATTTTATTAAACACTGAATCATACTGATTGATTTTCAAATGTTAAACCATTCCTCATATAAACCCTTATTGGTCAAAATGTGTTATTAGGTTATGTATTTCATGATTATGTTTGTTAGGATGCAGATGAGGCATTGTGTATCTCTGCTCAGGACACTGGCCTAAAAATTTTTATTTCCTGTATTGTCACCACCCAGTGACACAGAATGATTGGAAACTGGTCTCCCCTTTTATTTTCTGAAAGCTGTGGATTTGATATTATTTACCATGAATGTATGGTGGAATTCACCAGCGTCAACCATTTTCATTATGGGAAGGTCTTGGTAATGAATCAAATGTCTTTAATAGCTGTAACTATTGGATATTCTATTTCCTCATGTGTCAGCTTTAGTCCTGGGAAGCCAAAGGCTGTGCTGGAGTGAGGAAGAGCAAGAAGTTTATTAGGATACTGGGTAATGCCTGTGAGGGGTAGAGGGGCAGAAATTAGGACTGCTGTGGAAATCTTGCAGACCATGAGATAAATGTGATGTCAGTGAAAGGGAAGAGGTAGAGGAAGCAAAAGCAGATTTGAGAAAGTCTCAGTCAACTAATGGGCAACTCTAGAACAAACACTGCCTCTAATAAGCAGAATGTCCAGGCCATGGTACACCCACCAGGTCCCATTATGAGCTGTCATGGATCTGGGATGTGCTGCAGCTACAAGCTGTCACCCAAATGTATTAGTCATGGCAGAGTAGCAAGTTGGGAGGGAGTTGTTATGATTTAGATCTAGAATGTCTCCTAAAAGCCTCAAGTGTTTGAAAGGGGATTTGATCATTGGATCATAGCTGACTTGCTGTTAGGAAGTGTGTGTGTGTGTGTGTGTGTGTGTGTGTGTGTGTGTGTGTGTGTGTGTGTGACTCGCAGTGCAGAACTGGCTGAATGTGAGTCACTAAGGCATGATTAGCAGGATGTATCTCCCTTTCGGGCTCCTCTCTTCTCTCTCTGCTTCCTGGCTACCATGATATGAGCAGTTTTCCTCCACCAGACCCTTCCCCCATATCCTTTCTGTCTTGGAGCCAGATGTTTCTGGGTTGAATCCTCTAAAAACCATGAACCAAAGATAAATCTCTCCTCCATTAAGTTGTGTGTGCCAAGTATTATATCTCAACCATGAGAAAGTAACTAAGACTCTGTCCGTTTGTTTGTTTGTTTTTCAGTAATAGAGATTGAACTGAGGGCCTTTAGACTGAGCTGTTTAGATTTATTTTTACTTTTATTTTGAGATGGGGTCTTGCTAAGTCATTAAATGGACCATGCTGGGCTCAAACTTGCTATCCTCCTGTCTCAGCCCTGTAAAATGATGAGATTATAGGCATGTGCCATCATGCCTAGCACAAATTCTTGAAGGGAGATCAAAGCCCATATTTCCATGACTGATGCATTTGGTAACTTCTGTTTCTCAAGACCTTTGCCCATTTCATCTAAAATTTAGTGTGGCGTGATGACACATACCTGTGATTCCAGCACTCTGGAAGGCTGAGAGACTAGGTTCAGAAGTTCAAGCCCAGCTTGGGTAATCTAGCCACTTAGCAAGACCTTGTCAAATTAAAAAGGGGCACACTGGGACGTAGTTCAGTGCAAAGACCATGAGTTTAACTGTCAGTACCAAAAATTACTGGCATAAAGTTTTACATTATTACAATAGTACTGTATTATAACATCCCTTTATTTTGCTTTAATTGTCAAAAGGATTTGTAGTTATATGCCTCTTTTAATTCTAGTTTTGACACGTGGGGTTTGTCTTCTTACCCTAAATGATATTTCCAAATAATTTCTGGCTTAGTCTTCCCTATTATTTCTCTCCTAATCCATTGATTGCTCTTGTTTTATTATATCATTTTCTACTTAACTCACATTTTCCCCTAGTATCTTAAAGATTTGGGCCATTAAAAAAAAAAAAAACTTTATTCTTTTCTAATAAGCACAGAAAGCTACATATTTCCCTCTAAGCCCTTCTGTAGCTTCATTCACAAAATCTGGTAAGCTGTCTTTTCAATAACATTCTATTAAAAATATTTTGTAATTTCAATGCAGCTATTCCTTAACTCTTGACTAATAAAAATGTTATCTAATTTCTGATCTTCAAATATCTGGAGATTTTTGATAAATTGAAAAATAAAAGATAAATGATAGGAAACAAACAAGACTATGTGGAGATGGCAAGGGGATCTGGAGAAAGAAGAAAGGGAAAATAAAAAGGATCAAGATGTGACATGTGCATGTACCGATTACCCGTGATGAATGCATTTATTATGTATCACAGATATTTGCTATTTAAAAAAAGAAACATTTAAAAAATTTTTTCTTTGTGACCAAAGAACATAATCTGCATAATTTCAATCATTTGAAAATTTCCTAGACTTTCTGTGGCCCAGCATAGGGTTTCTGTTGACCAATGTTCACGTGCACTCAAGAGAGTATTTATTTTGCTGTTGTTACAAGACCCCCAGTAGTATTACACCGATCTTCTTTACCCTTGTTGAATTCGCCTATTTTTTCTGAGTTAGGGACAGTAGTGTTCAGCCTTCCATAGGATAATGCGTTTATTTTTCTTTTTAACATTCAGTTTTTGGTTCAGGTAGTTTGAAGCCTTAGTATTAGATGCATGCAAATTTAACATTGCTGTATCTTCCAAAAGAGCTTAGCATTTTTTATTATGTTATGCTTCTTTTTTTGCGATAACATACTGCCTTCAAGTCTTAATTAGCCTGGTAAAAATAAAATTACTCAATTTTATCACTGTTAGTATTTGCATATTACACGTTATTTCATCCTTTGACTGCCAAGGCACATGTGCTCATGCATCTCTGATAATGAGCACAGAGCAAGAACGAGCTTGCTTTGGACTCTCCCTCACTCGAGGGTAAGAGTGGCCCTGGGGAATGGGGCTAAAAAAAGTTCTGAGATCTCCAGACAAAATTATCATGCAACTCAATGAATACGTAGGTGATCAAGCATTTTCTCAGATCCAAATTAAGTAATTTTCATTCCATACAACTATCTTAAATATTATTAAAAAGGTGGACCTTCTCTCTGAGTCATTGAAGAAAATCAAAGACTTTTAACTTTGAATATCACATAGGCCCCCAAAAATAAAATTTTCTTTAATGTAATACTTAAAAGTATGCCTAACATCGCTCCAAGAGAAGGCTAGTGATCTTGGAATGATCATCTCATGGTTGCAAACATAAAATACTCTTTCCACTACAAAGTAAAAAGAAAAGGAAAATAAATTTTAAGGAACCTACTTACAAGAACATCAAACAGAAAGAGAAAAACTGTCCATTCAAAATATCTAAACACAGAGCTATAAAATTAGTCACAGGACAGGGTTTACACAGAAGGAGAGAAAGTATTAAATCATCAATATCAAATGATTATTATGTTCTTACCAAGGCTTCATAATCTTCTGCAACTTCTGGTATCGTCTGCAAAATTTAAAAACAACCACATGAGAGGCACGTTTGGAAGGAATAATTTATACACAATGAACGTATTGTGAAGAAAACTCAGGGTAAGATATAGGACAGATTATATGCCACCAAGTAAAGGGACTTTACCAATTTTAAAACATGAAAGTAATAAACTGGTATTCTTTCATTATAAGAGACAAACAAAAAGCCAGGATTAAACTATTCTCACCCACCTACTGCATTTATTTCGAGCAAAGTCAAGAGGAACCCTCCATTTGAATGCAAAGGACCTGGGTTTAAAGGTGTTGGTGGGGAGACCACTAAGGATAAGAATGATTGAGTTCCTAGTGAAAACAGTTGAGCCAAAAAGCACTAGAGACATTGCAATCATGTTGGATACCAAGATGGTACCCTGCTCCAGCCCACAGAAGACAAATCTGCCTGGAACAATGGGCAATTGTGCTTTAAACCAAATGAGCAAACTAAAAACATAGGCTCAAAAAGATAAAGGAACAAATGCTTCTAGTCTGGTCAAAGTGCTTTCCATTCTTCTAGCTTGCCAGTCTCTCCTGCTTTAAGTCTGTCATCTGTCTCTGTTGAGTATCCTTCCCCTCTTTCCAACTACTTTCATCCTACTTCCAAATTCACCTAGTGCTAGCCTGTGGGGGAGCCTCAATGACCTCTGGTTTCCTTTCCTCCTTCCTTAGGCCCTGGACCTACATCAGCTCCAAGTCTTAGGATACCTCACTGCCCTTCCCAGCTCCATGAAATCCAGAGTTCTGCCCTATGAGTTACACACACAGTGTCAGGCACACATGGGGCAGGCACCCCATAAAAGGCTGGTAGATGTCTTTGTTCTTCCAAAGAACTTAACTGTCACATTCTCAACAACATAAAGCATAAACCCTTCAGAAACCAACTAGCCACATAAAAGCTAAAATCTCCTCTTTGGTAAAACTTGACAGAGAGAGACACATTTAAGGAGTTTCTTCTCTTATTCCCTTCTCCTTCCTTTGCAAATATTTATTATTTTCCTTTTCTCCTCCATCAAACAGCTACTGACAGAGAACAAGAAGCAGGTGTTCAGGGCCCAGGGATTTAGCTCAGCGGTTCCGCCACCTGCCTCACAAGTGCAAGGTCCCAAGTTCAATCCCCAGTATCAAAAAAGTCAAAGAAGGCAGTACTGAGCAGAAGCTGGGGACATTTTCAAGGGCTCAATATAGCTTTCTACTAACATGAATCAAGGCCCCTTTGGGAAGTGGTTCATGACACAGGCTGAGGCAGGTAAAGACCTAGATAAACCAAGAATATCTTGTTGAGCCAGACAGTAAAGAAATGCTTTAAAAAAATGATGGGAGATGGATCAAACGAACACTAAATACAGCTTAAATAAGCTTCCAGGGTCCAATTCTGGGAGAAGATGAGCATCCCAATAAATAAAAATGGTGACAGGGTAGGGATTTAGCTCAGTGGCTCCAATGCCTGCCTCGCAAGCACAAGTGCACAAGTTCGATCCCCAGTACCAAAAAAAAAAAAAAAAAAAATGGTGATAGATAATACCTCACTAAATAATTAGGATAAAATGAGCCCAGTTTGCTATAAAGAGTGATGTGCTGATAGAGTATAGGAGCAAAGCCCTGGGGAAGAAATCTGATTAGTACCATTTTCCACTTTCCAAGAACTGCTACTCTCACCCTGGCCAATTTGAAGAATCAACACGACATCAGGGAGAGGGAAAGAGTGGTGCAAAAGTGGCCAGGAGGATGTTATCCGCGCCAGCTCTAGCACACCCCACTGGAAATCAGTGCACAAATGAATAAATAAAAAGGGAGAACATGGAGCCCTCCCAACAATAGGCAACCAGTCAATGTAGAAAGAATGATAGCATTAGAAATCCTCCTTTAGGACCCATCACATTAATAAGAAATTCAGCTGAGACACATCACTTCAACACTTGTGAGTATAGGGGCCAGGAATTTAGCTCAGTGTCACTGTAACTGCTTTGCAAGCACAAGGTCCTGAGTTCGATCCCCATTACTAACAAAACAAAACAAAAAAGTGGTGGGTATAGCTGAGGTGAAGATTTTACATGGTTTCAAAGTATCTCTCTACAAATTACTTATGAATTAACTACAGACGTTAGGGGAAATGGTGTAATAAAGGCACCACAACAACAGAATATACTAGTATTGCATCTGTGATATTGCAGGTAGGGACACAGAATATGGGTTTGATCATGAGAAAATAATAGGCAAGCTCATAGGGGAAAAATGTATTTCAGTGGCAAACTGCCGAGTCTCTAACATCCTCTTCTGGGTTTTCAGATTCTAGCCCTGCTGTCTTTCAGCTACTTTACAATTCTCTATAAGCTGTAGGTATCTAACAGATATATACATTTTTTGGCCCTGTCTGGTAGTGATTTAATTGGCTTCCTCCCTGTTGGTGGAAAACCAGCTAGGTCTCCATTTGCAATTCATTTCAACTTTCCTTTGCTCCATATATGTATCTGTTCTCCTTTGACTTTTGCTTTGAAATGATTATAACATCTGCCTGGTTCCCTCATATTATATGGGTAAAATAAATTCTTTTAACACATGTTAATTTATGTATTTGTAGGAGAGACATAATTCTGCCTTTTCCTGAAATGGTCTTTAATAAATTAAATTTTAATGAACTCAACTGGAGGATACTTTATAAAATTACTAACCTTTTATAATCTTTAAAAAATGTCAATGTCATGCAAGAAGAGGAATGACTATGGAAGAGATCCAGTCTAAAAGAATAGCAACGGATCAGATAGACAAGGAGGGGACATAGTGCTACGTGTGTGTGTGTGTGTGTGTGTGTGTGTGT